GGCCGCGGTCTGTGACGGCCTCCGGGCGAGGCCCCGCCGGCGCGCCCGCGGCAGCCGGTGCCGTGCCAGGTGAAGAGATTAATGTTTTCGAACGCTGTGTGTACGGAGAGCTGAAGTAACTGCCTGCCAGCGGTCTTTGAAGTAATTTGGGGCTTAGCTAGTAGTATGTGCCTTGTGTGTTCCGCTCAGCGTTGCAGTATGGGGACTGGGTTTTTTTTAATTAATTAAAAAAGAAAGACTTGTTATGAGTTGGGATAAACAAAGTGCAGAAACAGAGCGGATTGTAAAAGGAGAAAGTAAAATCTCTTTGGAAAAACAAAGTTTTCCTGATGTGTATGGCTTTACTAACAAAATATTTTACGTAGGTTTTAGTGGCTTAGGTTTTCATGAGAACTTAAAATGTATAGAAGTCTGCTCCCATCTGAAATTGTTTCTGTGGTGGCATGCTGAGTCCTTGCTGAAAGATGGCAGTTTAGAGTAGCAGAAATTATGAAAGTTCTATACACGTGTCTCTTAAAACTTAAGTTGAATGTGTGCTGAAGGCTTAACTTTTTTCTAGGCAAGTGCTGAAAAATCGAGCCTGAAATCTGAGAGTATTCTGAAAGGAGGTAAAGAATTGTACCTACATTTAAAAAAAAAAAAGATTGATATTTTATGATGTAAACTAGGTATAAGGTAACTGCTTGAAATACTTAAATAGCATTGTCAAGGTGTTTTAAGCAAAGTGGAAAGAAAAATTAACAGTTGAACTGGCAGGCATGGTGTTCTGTTCCTCTCTGGAAAAAACGTCAGTGACTGGCTTGGTCTCCTGAAGTGGATTTGTTGTGTGGGGCTGAAGCTTTGAGGTAAAAAAACTGAGGAGTGCTGAAGACAGTAAATATAAAGGATTATGTAGGAGATAATTTCTGTGATTATGTAGGTGACAACTTGCAGAAGATCAGCTGATCTGCAAGCTTTTGTGAGATTCCTTTTCCAAGGAAGTAATTTAAAAGTCTGCTGTTTCCAATATGCCATTGGATTTCCTAAATTAGGAACCGTTCAGACTACTGTGCCATTTGTGATGACAATCGTACAGGTTGTTCTTGAGCTAGTGAGAGGTGGTTATGTGAGATTTCGGTTATAAATGCAGTAGTGTTCAGTCCAAATTCCACACTTACACTTGAGGTGTGGCAGTTTGTGGTAATCCCTCCTGGTGAGTTGATTACTGTCCCTAGACTTTTTATTTCACTTGAAAGGTGGGGAAATATTTTCTGGTTTGCACTTTCACGTGAAAATTTCCATATACTTCTGGGAATGCATCTCAGGAAGCTTTTTCAGGGATATACATAATAATTTTTAGCTTGTCAAATATTTAAAGCAAGCTGTGAGGGCTCTCTGGGGAGTAATTGTTTGTGACGTAAAGGGCTTTCCTCTTTCATAACACTGTTAGTCAAAGCAGCTAAAAGTAGTGGTGTGCTGGATTTGCAGGTTTGAGGCTGTTCCCTTAGTTGATGCATCTTGATTATTGTCTCAGCAGAATGTATCTGCTCACCCGTGATTTATGTGAGGCTTTATTTATAGGAAAACTGCCTTGATCCACCAAGCATTTGCAGGGGGGGGGGAAAATTGACTGATTATAATCTTAAATCTGAGCATCCCAAGGTAGTTAGTAAATATCTCTTAAGTTAAACAGTTGTTTCTGTCAGTCAAATAGTAACACTTTATGAAAAAGTAAAAGTGCATGTCACTGTATACAGGTTACGGTGCTCAACCACAAAATTTTTAGTCATTCAACTGTCCTCCAATGGGTCCTTTCAGTTCCTTCCTACTCAGCATTGGAAACTAGCATAAGATTTGAAGAAGGAAGGAAGCTGGTCAAAAAAGGTACCTCTGTTCTTTTGACTGTGTTATGATTATTTATGGTTGTAAATAGCTTTCATATATAACAGGTTATTCTTCCCAGTCCATTTTCTTCAAAGACCTTCATAAGAGAGTGGGATCGATACCATGCTTCCAGTGAAAAATTAAAAGGAAATTTAAAAGCATAATCTTCACAGTTCTGCAGAAGATACCAGTTTCCGTGTTACAAAGAGTTTGGGCCTGTGTTTATTGAAGAGTCTTGGTGGCTTTCTGACTCCCGTGCTCCCTTCTCTCTGGAAACCCCAGTCACCTTTACGTAAGATAACAGTGAATAATGTGCTGACTTGAGCTCCATGTGTTTGTCATCTTTTTCTGGCTCTGAAACTTTCAGGATGGAACACGGAAGTTTTAGGGAAGTGGGGGAGAGTTGTCAAATCTGAACACAGATCATCGTGGTGAGGAGGGGCTATGCAACGATGAGCTGTTGATTACACACCGAGTGATTTACATGATCACTGCTGTGTAGTCTGCTGCTTTTTCTGCCCTTAGCCCCAGCACACCAAGGGAACAGCGAGAACTGGTGCTTACCTAACAGCATGGAAAGTACCATGGTTATGGTGCAGCCTCTCCGTAGCAGGGATTCCCCTGCTGTATCCATGGCAGTACTTTAATTTCAGTCTTTCAACGTTTTTTAATGCAAATTCTGGTTTTGCACTGTATTAAGTGCTTTGAATTCTATCTGTATACACTATCTGCTAGATACTAAGTGCTAAGTACTGCTATCTGCTAGATACTAAGTATTCTCTCTCGGGTGTGCAGCCCCTGCTGTTAAAACTTTTGACACTTTCCCACTTAGGAGAAACAGAAGTTGACAGTGTAAAACTGCTTGCTACTCCATGGCTTTTCTGGAATGCAACTGTATTCCAGTTACACGTTGCAATTTTTCAGCTTGATACAAGTCAACTTATTCAGGCAGTTAATGTTGGTCTTTTGTCGTTGCATTTAAGTTTCTGTTGTTATTTTTAATGATAACAACATGCAAATTTATCTCAAATTTGACTTAAAATGTAAAGTAGACATTTTAAAGAATTGTATTACTGCTTAAAAGATTGTTAACTTTGTAATAAAACATCTGGATCATGTGGGAATACAAAAATTAAAATCCATGAGCTCTTAGCTAGGCTTCTAGCGTATAATTGTTGTATTGTTACAAACATTCTGTACAGCAGAGGTGTAATCTTTTCTGATTAACATTTTAAACTAAGGTTGGGGTTTTTTTACAAGTAAGGAATCTTAGACTAACATCTGAAAAAGCTCATAATTAAAAGATTGGATTGTGGTCCTGCAAGTGAACAAGATGTTGCTATTCCACCTTTCAGTTAAGAACACAGCAGGAAAATACCACCATAAGCTTCATTCTCACTAGGGTTCTCTCTGTGCTACCTTTGTCAGTGTATAATCAGTATGCTGGCTTTTGAAAACTTCATTTAAAGTGGAATATTTTGTAAAAGTACAGTCCTCATTGGTGCATTGATGAGATCATTTTGTTGACAGTTGAAATGCAGAATTTTTCATACACTGTTACAAACTCTGGGACATCCTGGAGTTAGAACTCTATTGCTGTGATTTCATCAAATAACTGTTTTTGTTATCTTAAACTCATGCTTTAAATGCTTAATCTATCTCAGCTGGGTAACGTGCTGTTTGTTGCTTTTGCTGTGCTTGATGAGTTCTCTTGGATAGAAGAAACACAACAAAATGTGCCAGCATAGCAATTTGTGGCCTCAGTACAGCTTTCAGAAAAGAAAGAAATGAGGTGGGGTAGGAGAATTGGAAGTACAGCAGCGACATATATTCCAGAAAATGTGAGGTTGAGTTTCGTATGTGTCTACTTAAATGTTACTTGTTAAATAAAAAATAAGTGTAGAAGGAGATGGAAAGATCAATATTTTACTAAGCAGAGTTCCTGATTTTTTTAATTATTTTTTTTTCTTGCAGCACAACACTAAATTTGTAATGAAATGGAGTCTGGGTCAAGCTCTTTTCGAGTGGAATTTCCAGATTTTTCTAGCACCATTTTACAGAAGCTAAATCAGCAGCGCCAACAAGGACAATTATGTGATGTGTCCATTGTAGTTCAGGGCCATCTCTTCAGAGCCCATAAAGCTGTTCTTGCAGCTAGTTCACCTTACTTCTGTGATCAGGTTCTCTTAAAAAACAGCAGGCGAATAGTCCTGCCTGATGTGATGAATCCCAGAGTATTTGAAAACATTCTTCTGTCTACCTATACAGGTCGGCTGGTAATGCCTGCTCCAGAAATTGTTAGTTATTTGACAGCAGCAAGTTTCCTTCAGATGTGGCATGTAGTGGATAAATGCACAGAAGTGCTAGAGGGGAACCCAACAGTTCTGTGTCAGAAGATGAACCATGGCAGTGATCATCAGTCCCCGAGCAGTAGTAGTTACAACGGCCTCGTTGAAACCTTTGAACTTGGCTCTGGAGGACAGACAGAATTCCACAAAGGGCAGGAACTAAGGGATGGCGAAAATGAAGAAGAGAGCTCTAAAGATGAACTATCATGTCAACTGACTGAGCACGAGTATCTTCCCAGTAATTCTTCGACAGAGCATGACAGGCTTAGTACTGGAATGACGAGTCAGGATGGTGAAGAAGGAACTAGTGATAGTGCAGAGTACCAGTACACCAAACCTATGTATAGCAAACCCAGCATCATGTCTCACAAGCGGTGGATCCATGTGAAACCAGAAAGATTTGAACAGGACTGTGAAGGTGTAGATAATCCTTATGATGAACACCAAGTTTCTGAATCCATGAATGCCATTCAGGCAGATCATTCTATCCAGTCGTCAGGTGTTGAAGACTTTCATATAGGTGACAAAAAGATGGAAGCGGAATTTGATGAACAGGCAGATGAAAGTAATTATGATGAACAAGTTGACTTCTATGGCTCTTCTATGGAAGAATTTTCTGGTGAAAGGGCAGATGGAAATGTCAGTGCTCACAGACAGGATCTTATGATAGCAGCAGGCTATGGTGAAGGCATTGAAATGGCTACGGGAATTAAAGAAGAAACGTCCCTCACTGGATTCTCACATGCTGATAAGCTGTATCCTTGTCAATGCGGTAAAAGTTTTACACACAAAAGTCAGAGAGATCGGCATATGAGTATGCACCTTGGTCTGCGACCTTATGGCTGTGGTGTCTGTGGTAAGAAATTCAAAATGAAACACCATCTTGTAGGCCATATGAAAATTCATACAGGCATAAAACCATATGAGTGTAACATCTGTGGGAAGAGATTTATGTGGCGAGACAGTTTCCATCGACACGTGACCTCTTGTACCAAGTCATACCAAGCTTCTAAAGCTGAGCAGAATACTACTGAGATGAACTAAGACATCAGTGCTTACAGTTGTTTAGTAGAGTAAGCAAAATAAACTTATTATGCAAATAATGTCTGGTACTTGCTATTGTAAATACTCAAAAAAACAAAGTTTTCATTATTATGCTGGTATAAGCAGACCAAACTTCTATTTTCCACAGTATTACTGCAGGTGTTCGATGTGTGAAGTGCAAATGGTTAATCTGAAAAGTGCTTGCAAAATTATGTCTGTGAGGTCTTTGTGACATTGATTGTAATCGCGGCAGTGTTTAGAAGCCCTGTTGTTTTTCTGAGTCTTCTAAATTCACAGCCCAAATGTAAATTGACCCCAATCCTGCAAATACTTACATGAAGCAGGAATTCAAGAAGCTCTACTTAATGAGAGAGAACTAGGTTGATCAAACCAGGTTATATGATTCACATTGTAATGAAACAAAATTAGAATACCACCTCAGACTGGAGACTACCAACGTACTTAACATGCACCATTAGTCTACTTCGTTAAATAGCCTTTGCTGTATTGCTTAATGAAAGGCTGTGTTAAAAGATGGTTTGGCTTTCCTTTATCTGTTTTACATCTTTTATACATCTTCAGTAAAACAAATGTCAAATTTTGTGCCGATTTCTATTTAGAGTCTGTAAAGCACTTAAATATAGTTGAGCACTATATAAACTTCAATCTGTATTGAGTATAATTTATCTTTGCTCCTCTAGAGTCTAATGCTATATAACGCTTGACTTGACTTGGTTTTGATTGCTACATCATGAGAGCTTCTAAAAGCTAAGAAGTATGTCTTGGAAAGAAAAAAAACAAAAGTAACATTTGGAACTTATCCGAAATAATCAAACATTTAAACTGTAGTGTTCTATTCAGATTTTTGTGGCTTACTACAGTAGCAAGTACCAAACTCTTTGGATTCACAAATTGACTTTTTATTGGTACAGAAACTTCTTTGAGAACTTCTATTTAGTTTTAGAAGCCTGTTTTAGGAGAATGATTTAGTCATTGATAAGAATTCATACTTTTAATTCTTTACTCTTTGAATAGTAAGAACTATAATACAGATTGTTGGTACTGAACTACTGTGATTGGTTACATGTGATCGCAAGCAGCCAGAGTTGTTTACCTCTTCAAATGAACCTGCTTGTGGACAAAGGTAGGAAGTATGGTATTTGGTTCTATTCACGGTACTGCAGAACATGGTACCATGCTTGTGTCTGAAGTCTGGGTTTTTGCTGGGGAAGTGGCACTTCTGCTTCATTAGGATGAGGATCTGTATGCTAGACTCTCATTCTTGGAGATGGATGGGGGAGTGTTTGTAGTTCTGAGATCCTGCCAGCTCTGCAGGTAGAGTGAATGCATTGGTTGTGAGGGTGGCAACAGGATTTGGGGGTTGAAAGCTTAATGCAGTCCTATGCAAAAGCAAATAAACCTTCTTTGTTTACTGAAACATGAAAATGAAAGAGCCTTTAGAGCATGCATAGACTATAATAGAAAGAAGTGATGTCCAAGTACAGTGCTGGTAACATTGGGGGAAAAAAGTTAACCAGCATCGGCCTAAGCCTGTCTGTCCCCAGCTTATGTATTAGGTACTGCAATATGCAGCATAACGTACTTAAACAGATGACCCTGTATGGTGAAGCAAAACCACACAAAGATAATTACTATTTAGACGCTTTTTTGAACTCCCAGTTACAAATTGTCTTAAGATACAACCAAATGGTATCCTGAATGAATGTCTGGTACGAGCTGGGGGTTTACTACTCAGTGGGCTGTAATTACTGTAACTTCTTTTTTAGCGTTCTAATTACAAACTTCAGTTTTTTTGAGAGGCTCTTAATTCCTAATCTTCTAATGCTTCAGATATTTTTCATACAGAATTTTGTTAAAACAGATATTCCCAGATATGATGAACCCATTGCTGGCAATGGGCATGAATGATCAGCACCACAGAGTTCCTATTCTTAGCACTTAATTGAGCTCTACAATGAATCATGGTGGCCATATATAGCCCTTTTAATCAAGGTAGCTAAACAGGGATTTGCTCACTAACACTGTAACCTGTTTCATGTATAAAAGCACTTTGTATTTAAAAAACTAAACAAAACAAAAAAAAAAGAAAAAAAAAAAGACTTTATGTTTTTTAAACTTAGAAATTATATTCCCTTTATGGTTTGTTTCCACACTGCTAGCACTGTCTTTTTTAATATTTAAAAAAAAATAAATTATAATGCTTGCCTGTTTACATGAGTGTAGAGGAAAGGGTTCTTGCACTCAGTGGCCCAATTTTTCCATTCTCTAAGGCCTTACTACATACAGGGTGTCATTTCTGCAAGTACCATTATCACATTTGAGGGAAGGTGTTCTCATACTCATTTCAAGAATGATCTTGTATATTACGTGAGTTTTCAACCCCTTTCAAATTGTCACTTCAGTGTTGCATAAAAAGGTTAAAGGTGCCTCTTCTCATTTAACCATAAAACAGCTGGTCAGAAACACCAGGCTGAAAACCATGGTCGAGTGAAAAGTTATTTCTGTTAAACCTGGACCATCCTACAGAGCTGCCAGCAAAACTGTTTCTTTTATCAGCTTAGAATGACTTTTCTATGGGACATTTCAAAGTTAAACATTACTCCCATTAGCAGGTAGATTACTTTGAAATAAAGCTTTAAAATAAAATGTACCATGAGAGACACTTTAAAGGTTTTATAACAGGTCCAGTAGATCATATTATAGAACCATGTCCTTTTTTTAATGATTTAGCATGAATAGTAACTTTTTAATAATTGCCTATTATGGTTTTACCCCATATTATGACATTGTCTTGGAAGTCCAACAAATGTTGCTCCACTGATTTTGTAGCACTTGGCTTTGTGATGTTAATTTACATGAAATCAATTGATTGCAGGAAAATACCAATATGATTGTTACGAGACTTAGTTGAGAGGATTGATGATTTAAGGGAAGCTTGAGTTATCTGTCTAAAATCCTTACTTTTGCTTATTACAGGCAAAACAGTTGACTTGTGTTTTTTCCTCCCTTTAATTAATTGTCCTTTGGGAAACTTCTAATCACTGATCACAGAAGATTACTTAAACACTTAGGAAACATCTTTCTTGCCCCTTCCTCAGGCTCAGCTAAAGTCTTAACAGCTTTCCTCCCTGCCTTTGCAGTCCGGGTACCTTGTTTTCACTGAGAGTCGCACTCAGTTCGTGCCAGTTCTTTCAGGGATGTTGGGCTCAGATGTGTACTGGCTTGTCTGACACTCTTCATGTCTTAATGGGTGTCCTCTGCTGCTCTGGGCTGGTCAGTGTCATTGTTCATGGTGGCAGTGTGCCATCATCCCTCCAGCAATGCGCCTCCAGCTTGGGTCTCCTATGGGCCTTGATCACTTCAGAGCCATGTCTGTCAGGCTTGCCTGTAGGCCAGAGGCCCCTCAGCAGTGAATCTCTTCAGGCATGGAGTGCATCCCTCTGTGAGTGTGTCTCTACGTGTCCTCTGGGTCTTCTCCATGTGTTCTCCCAAGAGCAGCTCTTCACTCTCTGCATGTGTTTCTTCGCCAGGAGTACCTTCTCCTTACGTGTCTCACTGCACCACTTGCTAGAAGCTGCCGCTCTTAAACACGTGGAAGCAGAGGCAGTGTCACACTGTAGTTGAAGTTTTGGCATGCAGTGGGTTGTTCACATCAGTTTCCATGCGGGCTAAACCTGTTTTGGCTGGCACAGGGCAATTCACAATTCACCCTTGCAGCCCCCGCTACCGATACCCTGCTGTTCATGGTCAGTGCGGTTGTACGGAGTGAGCCGTGACACACACAGGCAGCTTCTGTCAGGCTCCTGATCTTTGACAATGGAGTGGTCTCGTTCAAGATACAGGGAATTATTTCTTGTCCGTAGGGATGAAGGAAATGATCCATATGAACACATCTGTAGATGATAAATTTCATTAATCTTCCCTTAAGTTTCATCACCTTTAATGATACGGCTTAGAAACATTTGTGCTTTTTTTATATTGCTCACTGTTGACTGTAGTAAAGTAAATGTGTTCTGAAAACTAGAATCATTGCATGCACAAGCAGCTTTCAGACTTTCCTGCTACTGTCAAGCCATTCATTGCCTGTCAGTGGTAAGAACACTTAATGGTACTACAGTCAAGTTCCTTTCCATTCCATTTTGTGACTGAGATGTTAATTACTGTGGAATTGGTGTAACTGCCATTCTGAAAAATTCAGTGATTGACAAAGTTAAGATCCTTGCTTGGTGTGATCGGACCCTGTTCAGGGAGGAGGTTCCTATTTCACTCACCACTGGTGGGGGTTTTTTGTTGTTTTGATTTTTAAGTATTACCTTGTTTGTTTTATGGGTGAGCAGGTAGACTCTAGAAGGTACTGCCAGTACCATTCTTGGTCAGCTTTTTTCATCTGACTTGTTTCTGGGGGTGAGAAACTGTCCCGTTTCAAAGGCTGATGTATTTGGTTTCTCATTATCAAAAGAATACTTGATGTCCCTGTGTTATTGAGCCAGAAAGAATGGAGGCAGGTCAGGTCCTGTCAGTGCAACACTTCTGTGTTGGTACCAGAAAGGTGACCTGTCTGAATTATGAGAGCCTGCGGCAGTATAGGAATATTTTGCTTTAACAGAATTAGAACCTTTCTCAGAACAACAAAGGAGAGTTGGGGTTTTTGTTATTTAAATGCTTCATTGGAGAGCAGGCTTCTTTAGCTATGAGTTGTAAACTGTCAGTGGCCTAGGGGGAGATGCTGGAGAACAAAATGGTATATTTTTAATGTGATTAAAATGTAAGTTCTGATTTTTGCTTGAAGCCTGTGTCTGTTGATTGCTGCTCCTTTTTTATTATTCATGGGATTCCATATTTCTTCCAGAAATGTAACTGTTTATGCAAGTCAAGTGAATCTTCCTTAATGAGCTATAAGTTTTTATTCTAAACAAGTCATTTATAATAGTAAATTTGCATATCTTGATATTTTGTGAGAAGTTATGCCTGTATTGCAGAGGTTGGATAGTTTTGTCTATAAATATTGCTGTCCTAATTGTACAGC